TGCTAACTAATCTGACTCCCCGTCAGCTGTAAGAAACTGAGAACAGACACCAAACAGATTTTTGTTGACTTAACATATATTCTGGGAGGATTGGCTTTCTATGTTTGTTATCAGTTTGATTTTATTTTTTTAAAGATGGGGGGATTTGAACATGTTTATATACTGAGAGTAAAGAGCTGTAATAATGAGAGAATGTGAGGTTGGAGATTTGGAGGATTGAGGGGACAATGAATTGAACAGTGCCTAAGGAAGCAGAGGGAGGGGTCCCTCAGGTGGAGGAACAGTCCTCAGGCCAGGGCAGGCACAGAGCCTTCCTTTCCCCCCAGCCTACAGGAAAGGGGCAGGTGCTGATGAATATATGTGTTGGTTGGGAGGAGGAAACTGGGGGAGTTTCCAATTTATGGCCTCTGTTTCATCTAACCTAAGTGTTAAGTTGGTGTTAAGGTGGATGAAAATTTGGGGAAGAATGGCAAAGGCCTGGAAGACTGAGCTGGCTAGGGACCCACAGCAGCTTCCCATACTTCTTCTGTGACCCTTCTTTCTACCCCTCAATCCTCCACAAATCCCAGGACGCTACCCAGTGCTCCTGAACATGGCACCCACTCATCTTGTCTGTGAAATGCACTGAGCTCCTGCCATCAATCCATAACTAAGTGTAGTCCTTATATAAGAGAGTGATTGTAAAACACGTGGCCCAGCATCAGGTACCTAGTAAAGAATCAGTAAATGGTAGTTCTTGAATTCACTAGCAGTATGCATGTTGTCTTTCCTAGCTGCATAGGAGTGTGGACAGTGTGATGTGAATCCCCGCCCTCTGGGAGCTTGTGTTCTTGTCAAAGAAGGAAACACCCATACAATAATTTAAAAGCAATGCAAAATGATACATGGTGGTTACCAACAACCAACTGGTGCTTTGCTTCGTGATCACAGCCCCCAATAAAAAGTATCTGTTATATCAAGACCTAGAACTCAGATACTTAGATGTAACAGAAACAGAAGTTTCATTAAACAATACTTACCTTTTCTTTGTGTGATGCATTCTGATATTTTCTATTCTATTCTACTTTGTTTGTAAAAAGTGATGGTCAAGGCTCGTTGTGATGGACTGAACTGTGTCTCTGAAAAATTCATATTTTCAGGGAGTCTGGCTGGCTCAGTCAGTACAACATGTGATTCTTGATCTCCGGGTCATGAGTTCAAATCCCATATTGGGTGTAGAACTTATTTTAATCACTTTAAAACAATGTTTTATTTTTTAAAATTTTAAAAAGATTTTATTTATTTATTTGACAGAGAGAGAGATCACAAGTAGGCAGAGAGGCAGGCAGAGGGAGAGGGGGAACAGGCTCCCCACTGAGCAGAGAGCCCAATGCGGGGCTCCCTCCCAGGACCCTGAGATCACGACCCGAGCCGAAGGCAGAGGTTTAACCCACTGAGCCACCCAGGCACCCCTAAAACGATTTTTTTAAAAATTATTTATTTATTCTAAAGAAAGAGAGTACAAAGGGATGAGCGGAGGGAGAGGGACAAGCAGACTTCACACAGAGTGCCGAGTCTGACGTGGGGTGTGATCTCAGGACCCAGAGATCATGACCTAAGCCAAGACTAAATGTCAGACATTTAACCGACTGAGCTACCCAGGTGCCCCTAAAAATTGTTTTTAATTCAAATTTTCATATGTTGAACTCCTATGCCCTTAAAAATTCATATTCCTTTGAGGTTCACCCAGTACATCAGAATGTAACCTTATTTGGGGATAGGGACTTTACAGAGGTAATCCAGTTAAAATGAGGTCATTAAGGATGGGCTGTAAGCCAATATGGCTGGTGTCCTTATGAAAAGGGGAATTTTTTTTTAAAGATGTTATTTATTTATTTGACAGACAGAGATCACAAGTAGGCAAAGAGGCAGGCAGAGTTGGGGGGGGGGAAGCAGGCTCCCTGCCGAGCAGAGAGCCCGACGTAGGGCTCGATTCCAGAACCCTGGGATCATGACCTGAGCCGAAGGCAGAGGCTTTAACCCACTGAGCCACCCAGGCGCCCCGAAAAGGGGAAATTTTGAAGATAGGCTCAAATATAGGGAGAACACCATGAGAACCTGAAGACAGCCATCTACAAGCCAAGGAATGGCTTGTAGAACAGATTTTCCCTCTCAGCGCTCTGAAGGGGCACCCTGCCAACATCTTGATCTGGGACTTCTAGCCCCCCGAACTGTGAGACAATACGCTTCTGTTGTTTAAGCCAACCCAGCTTGGGGTGTTTTGTGATGGCAGTCCCAGCAAACTAGTCCTTCAAACTGATTTTCTGACTCACTGTTGCCTTATTAAACTTCCCTTTACAGACCACAAATTTTTTTCCTTTTTTTTTTTTTTAAGATTCTATTTATTTATTTGACACAGAGAGAGAGTACAAGTAGGGGGGAGTGGCAGGCAGAGGAAGAAGGAGAAAGAGACTCCCTGCTGAGCAAGGAGCCCAACGACATGGGGCTTGATTCCAGGATCCTGGGATCGTGACCCAAGCTGAAGGCAGATGCTTAACCAACGGAGCCACCCAGGAGCCCCAGACCACATATTTCTTCTTTCCTATGTTTACTCTCATGTAATCTTCATGACCCGTTAGGGGGATGGTAGGGCTGGGAGGAGGGTGAGGCAAGCAAGGCCCTCACTCCCAGAGTCACACAAGTGGGGGTGTCATCACTGAAAGTCTAGCTGACCCTACAATTGTACAACCTGAAGATGAGTGCCTCCTTTAGTTTTGCTAAACGGTTGCTAAACTGTTTAGTTTTGCTAAACTCTATTTGAGGGGTTGACACACAGCCATAAAGCTCTTAAGTGGAGTCAGATCTAAGCTAGGCTTGCTTCTAAATTCTGGGTCCTCAATTAATTAGTTAGTTCATTAATTAATTCTAGGTTATTTCTATGACACCACAGTGTCCCCATTGATGCAATCAGTTAGAGAGGATGGCAATAAATATTGTTTTCCAACCAGCCCTTGGTCCTCACCTTTCTACCCTGCAAAGGAGCCAAAGTTAGAGACTACATTCAATCCTCCCCTTCTCTTGCCAAAATTCGGGGGAACTCGGGGCTTCTAAGACCCTTATTAATTCATCTACTGTCTGTGGATGTCTGCAGGCAAGGTGGGCCCCTGAGAACATGTATCTTGAGCACTTGTGTGCATACACTGCCGTGCCAGCACTGCTGGTCATACAAACCCATGGACCAGGTTCCCTACCTGTCATCTCCACCCTTGGACGACAGCCTCTCCACTCCACTGCCTTCCAGACCCGGCAAACCCATAAACACACTTACTTCCTATATCTCATCTTTGTGACACTATTTTTACCCCCACATCAGGGGTTCCCAATGTGGGATGGAAGTCCTTCTGCCTTCTTCCTACCTGCCTTATTCCAGCCTGTAAAAATAATGCCTAACATTTACTGTGTGCCAGGCATTGTTCTAAGCCTATACATAATATTACCGTATCTCTCTCCCACAACCTTATGAGTGAAGACTTACTTGTTCCATTTTACAGATGGCAACACTGAAACTCAAAGAGTAACTCGCTCAGAGTTGTTCAGTTAGCGTCACTGGCAGGATTGGAACCCAAGCAGCCTGTCTCTAGAATCCCAGTTCTTAGCTGCTATCCTCTGCTGCCCGGCTGGGCACTCCATGCACACATGCACTCATGCAAACACACGCCGGGTCACATGGGGAGGGCGGGGAAGGAGCTGGGTTCTAGAAATCAGTTCAAGCACTAGGGGGCAGCATAGGCCTGGCTTTGGCCCCTCAGCCCGCCCTGCTGGGAGAGAGAAGAGGGGAGTAGAAACCTCCTCCCACCTCCCACCACCCCCTGGAGACCACCCTTTTTATACACCTTGTCTCCCAGGTTTGGGGAAATAGGGGCCTCTCTAGGCCGCTTGGCCTCCTTCAGCTCCTGCACCAGCAAAAGCTGCAAAAACTATCCACTAGTTACGATGACTCAGAAGCTGAGCAAGTCTAGTGTTTTTGAGTTTGTGTCTCATTGTGACTGCTTGTGCCTCTGAGGGCTGACATGACTGTGAGCCTGCCCACACATGTGTAAGCGTGTGTGTGTGTGTGTGTGTGTGTGGTCTGATGGCCAGGGAAGTTGCACATGTATGTGTTTGTTTCTGGGTGTGTCTCCGTGTTTACCACAGAAACAGGAACTTGGCCAAGGCTGCACAGCAGATTCCTAGTCAAACTTGTCCCTTGGGGAATCTGCAGGCAGCAACTCCAGGTTGTGCTGGCTCCCACAAGTGTCTGAAGAGTAGCGCTCTGTAAGGAGGGGGCCGAGACGGTTTTCAGTACAAGAGAGTCCTTCTGGAGTCTTCCAGAATTCTGAGCTCTGGGGTCCCATCCCCCACTCCCTCCCATCAGTGGTCACGCGACCTCTAAGTCTCACCCGCCAAGAAGGGAGGAGGATCTAGGAGTTCCAGACAGCCTGGAGCTCCCTGGCTGCTTTCAGGGTCCTCCACTGGAGGGAGCGCAGAGCCCAGAGGGATTTAGCTTTTTCAGAGGTCCCGGGAGTGGGGGGGGGGGGGGGGGGGGGGGGCCGGTGCCCAGTTCTTCCTGTGCCCAAATCGCAGGCCCCAGAAAAATTCTGAGTATGGGAGAGGCAGTTTGGAGCCACCCGCTTGGTTTTAGGTGACTTTCTGGAGAAAAGTTGATCGCTTTTGAGGGGACACAGTAAGTGGAGGTCAGGCTCCCCTCCAGTCTGGCCCCAGGGTCGGGAGACCCAGTCCTTGCTCCCTGGACCCCATGATCCCCCACTCGGCACAGGAGGCACACACGCTCACCCTACTTTCTTCCTCTTCCTCCTCCAGCCCACTTTCTCTTCTCTGTGTCGTCAGAGCTCCAGGGAGGGACCTGGTTAGACGGAGAAGCCGGAAACAGCGGGCTGGGGCAGCCAGTGCTTACACTGAGGAGGAAAGACGGGAGAGGTTGAGTGTGTGTGTGTGTGTGTGTGTGTGTGTGGTTTTTGGTGGTGGTGGTGGTGGAGGGAGGGGGGGTTGCCAGCAGGGCCAGGCCTGAACTCTCTGGATAGAGCTACGGACTCATGGGGCCTGGCAGTGCCCGCTGAGAGAGGGAGAAGACAGCGGAGGGGTTGCCAAGGTGAGGGGATGCCTCCGAGGAGGGGGAGGGGGAAGTGCTGACTTTAAGTGTGTGTGGGGGGGTGTGGATTAGCAGGGGTACTCTCGCGACCCTACCCTGGGCGGGGTGAATGTTTCCCGGGAAATTGTTTCATTTGGTGTTGGGAGCTGGTGGTCCTGGGTTTGGGCACTTTTGAATTCTCAGAGGAATCTGGTCTGGGCAAGGCCCGGCACTCCCACCTCCCCGCGTGGGTCACTTTTTCCACACCCCCGCCCCCGCACCTCCAGGGGCAAGTAAAGGCACGGAAAGGAGAGCAAGGAGGTGCCCCTCTGCCCTGGAAGGGGGGAGGGGAGGTGCCTGCCCCTCCCTAGAAGGTTGATGCCCGAGGGAGGTGGGTCCTTGACAAGCCCCTATCCTGTTCCCCCATAAATGCTGTCGTTCAAGGGTGTGGCTTGGGGGGATGAGCGAGCCCCAGATGTAGACCTCATGGTGCCCCGGAGAAGGGGGAATTTCCCCCTCAAAAGTGCTACACGCTTGGCTGCTGTAGACGCCGAGATTTCCCGGTGGCGGCGCAGGGTTAACCCTCCTCGTGCTGAACTGGCTCCACCTTCCCGCCCCCACTGCCACATACACATATTGGGCAACTCAGAGAAGCTCTTTTGACTTTTGATCCTGTAGTTCCGCGGTCAGAGGGCTCGCGAATGCAGGGACAGAGGTGATCGGATTTAGGCCAGGAAGCAGGCTGCGGAGCACGGTGGACGTCCGGGCTTGCCTTCCAGGTTGGGAAGTGCTGGGGAACGCTGGCCCCGCCCCCCCGCGCTGTGGCTCCTCCTCCCCGCCGGTCTTCTTGGGGGCTTAAAGCTTAAGGTGCGGGCAGTCCGCAGTCAGTGCTGGCCCCTGGACTCATCTTCGTTATAGCGTGGCCCTCTGAGGTCTGGGGATGGATTAGGGGAGGAGATTTGAAGCCTGGGCCTTGCCGGGAGGCTGGTCACTCGACAAGGGTTTATAGAAGAAAGTGGGGAGCGAGTGGGGAGGGCTGCCTTCTGCTTAAGGATTACCTGTCTCCACTTGGGTAGGGATAGAGAGTCAAAGGTCTGAGCACCATGAGAAACAGGAGAGGAAGAGAGAAGAGAGGAATGGAGTCCTCTCTTGAATTTAAAACATAGACCAATAGGTGCCCCACTCCAGAGTGGGAGGTGGTAGAGAAAGGCCTGTTGGAAGATCCTGAGCAGGCGGGAGGATTCTGCCTTTCAGAGAAAAGAGCTAGAGGGTATAGAAGCTGGTGGGTGGGGGGAGCAAGAAGGCTTGGGACCAAGAGTCTCCAGAGAAGGGGTCCCTCTCTTTTCTATCCCTTTGGAAGTCTTGGGAGAGAGGAGTAGCCAAAAGCCCAACAAGAGGGCTTGTGGTTACTGGGTTGGGGGAGACTCGGAATTTCCACCGCCATCCTCTCCATTCTCTCATCTCTAGGAGAGGGGCACTATGGGACACAGGCTCTGAGAGACCCCTGGGAAAACACTGGTTGACCCTCCCCACCCTGCAGCCCACCCAGAAATGGGGATGCAACCCTCTCCCCTACTTCTTCCATCTCCTCCTTTCCTCTCTCCTTCTTTTCTCCTCTGCCCTTGGCCTCTAGCCCAGCCTCTAGCTTCCTCTTCCCGGCTTCTAGGCTCTTCACTCCAGGCTTACTAACACTACTTTTTCTCCAATCTGTCCCACCTTCTTTCCAAGTTCTCTCTGCTTCACCCTTTCCTCCAACTCTGCCTCCCTTCATCAGCTCTCCTCCCACAGCTCCACCTCTTAGGATGTTGGGGTCTGGATGTGGAAGGGGCCCTCACAGAACGGTATCACTTACCTCTTGGAATCAAGTCCTGATTTCCGAACTCACTGGCTCAGTGGCCTTGGCAAGCTAGAGAACCTCCTTTAGACTCCGTTTCTTCATCTATGAAAGGACATAGTTCCATATTTTAAAAATCCCTGCAAAGCTCTGAGATAATGAGCTTCATGTAATGCCTCAAACATAGTAAATTCTCAATAAATGGTAGCTGTTAATGCTCTCCCGTTCTCTTCATCATCGACCAGCCTTTTCAAATTATCTCATGGAGCCCCAGGATTTTGAGGGGTGTCCTTAGTGACATCTTTGGGGTCAGGAGGTAGGGAGAGGGAAGTAGAAGCCGTAGGATTTGGGGCTTACCACACTTGCTTTCAACAGAGAAATTCTAGTGTTATACCTTTTATATAATTGGGATTCCACAGATTAAAAACTAAAATTGTCTACTACTTTAGAAATTTTTGGAAAATTCTGCATGTATCCAAGTCTCATATTTTATGAGATGAGAAGATCAAGCCTCACAGTGGGGAGGTTCCTTGCCCACAGAACCAGAGCCAGCTCAGAGCTGCAATCCAAGTCCTCTGCCTTCTCTCATAGAGCTTTCTGTACTCTGCCCACCTGTCCTGTCCTTCCAGCCCTCTGGCTGCAATTCAGCTCTTCCTACCCCATCACCCCTTTGTTTACAACTGGAGGGATTACCTTGTTTGGGGCATTGACCAATGATGTGCCCCAGTTGAGGTGTCAGGCTGTGAGTGGTGATGCGGATGGTCTCTGGGATCTGGGATCTGTAGGAGGTTGCTGGCTGCCCCCAGAAAGTAAGCCGACTTTCTTGGGTGCCTCTCAGAGTGGCCTTGTTCCTTTCCAGAAGGCACCCTCCAAACCCCAGATCATGTCTCTGTGGGGTCTGGTCTCCAAGATGCCTCCGGAAAAACTGCAGCGGCTCTATGTCGACTTTCCCCAACACCTGAGGCATCTCCTGAGTGACTGGCTGGAGAACCAGCCCTGGTAAGTCCTAGCTGCCCCATGCTGGTCTCCTCCAGGTCTTCCCTCTCCCACCTTCCCTCTCATTAGATTGCTCTGTCCCATGTCGGGACTCGGGATGCATTATTCCCTGTGTGGTGGCCAAGATTTAGCGGGGACCAGATTATGCACATTGACACACGGAGTCCCCCACACCCTGAGGAGCCCCAGTCAGAAAGGGAGAAGGTCAGGACTGGGGCAAGGGGACATCCCATAGCAGCTGGAAAATTGGGGAACAAAGGGCACATGGATGAGGCTGTACAGGGCATGGATGGAGACTAGCACTGGGAAGGAGCTGCTGAGCTGTTTGTTGAAGGGCAGAAGATCAGTAGAGCTGGAAAAACCCTGACCCAAGGCCACCTCATCTTGATCTTCCCACAGGGAGTTCCTGGTCGGCTCAGACACCTTCTGCTGCAACATGGCTAGTGCCCTCCTTTCTGCCACTGTCCAGCGCCTTCAGACTTCCGCTGGAAAGCAGGGGGAGGGGAGTGCCATCTTGCAACATATCAGCACCCTGGAGGTAGGGACAAGGAGGGGAGGGGACAAGGCTGGAGTGGGGCTGGAGTGGAGCCGGGATGAGACTTGGAACACCTGAAGAAATTGGATGCGAGAGCAAATTGGTGTTCCTGTAGTTAGCTGTTAGCTAGCATGCAAATGAGGTTTTAAAAGCATGCAAATGCATGAAAACTTCTGGAGCCCACAGTTGCACTGCCTTTCTGTGTGCTTAGGAATGGGGCAGGGGGTGGCGTGGATTGGAGGGGGAGAATAACATGGTTGATAGCCAGCCTAACCCAGTCCGCCACTCTTCATTTCTCTAGAGCATATATCAAAGGGACCCCCTGAAGCTGGTGGCCACTTTTAGACAAATCCTTCAAGGGGAGAAAAAAGCTGTTATGGAACAGGTATTGTTAATACCCCACCTCCCACCCCACGTCAACTCCCTGGGATGTTAGCTTGAGCCATGAGAAACTAGAAGGAATTTGAACTTCAGGAGAGGCTCAATGTTTAGGCCCAGGATAACCAAAGGAGGTTCCAGTGGTCAGAGTGCTCCCCAAGCCAAGCTCAGGGAAGCTTCAAAATGAGGGACTGAGGGTAGTGAGGCCTGGGGAGGAGAGAGCAAGGGGTAAGAGGCTGTTTCTGCCAAGAGAGAGATTTTATCCCCAGGAGATTCCAAAAGGTCAGGGAGAAACTTCAAAGCAGAAAAGGAGCCAGACAAGGGAAGTGGTTTGTTTCCTTTCGGCAGAGCATGGCGGCAGGCAGCCCTTTAGGAAGCAGAGGCCTAATGTAGAGGGATGAACGGAGTATCTCACCTCTTGGTGTCTGTCCCTCCCGTGCAGTTTCGCCACCTGCCAATGCCCTTCCACTGGAAGCAGGAGGAACTGAAGTTTACCACAGCCCTGCAAAGGCTGCAGCACCGGGTGGGGGAAACTCGCCTTCTCCGAGAGGCCCTGCAGCCGGGGGCTGAGGCTGGCCAAGGTGGGAGCGTGGGTCCGGCGCTCCGAGAGGGTTCTGGGGAGTGGGGGGGAGTGGGTGGGAGTGACACCCTCTTGGACCTCACCTTTGACCGAACCTCAGATTTATGTGTACCCTTTATTTCTGCCCTCACCCTCAGTGTCTCTGCACAACTTGTTAGATGCTCCTGCCAATGGGAAGGGGCCAAGTGAGGTAAGTGATGGATTGGGAGGTGGAGTTTGAACTCAAAAGTACAGTCCGGGAGGGATCTCAGCACTGTGGAGGGATGGAGATTAGGCCTCAGAGGGATACACACTGTGGCAGAGAAGGGGCAGGACTGAGAGGGGAAAGAGAGAGTGGCCTGCTGGAGGGCGCTGGAGGAGGAGCCAGGCTGGCCCCTGCTCAGGCCGACCCTGCCCGCAGGCCCTGGCCACGTTGCTGCAGGAGACTGTTGGGGAGCTGGAAGCTGCCCAGGCCCTGGTGCTGAAGAGGATCCAGATTTGGAAACGGCAGCAGCAGCTGGCAGGGAACGGCGCACCCTTTGAAGAGAGCTTGGCACCATTGCAGGAGAGGTCGGGGCAAGACTGATGGGACTGAGGGAGGGCCAGGGATGGGTGTCTGCGGTCCTGGCTGGAGGACAGGTGAGAGACAGAGGTGTCTCTCTGTGACACAGGTGTGAGAGAGAGACCCAGCAGGCCAATTCCAGCAGGGCTGCGCGCTTGCGCTGTTGTCAGGTCCCGTCCTGTCCTGTCTGAGCACGCCCGGCCGAGGCGGTTGGGAGCGGGAGTTCACCTGGCCCATGCTTGCTTGCTTGCTTGCTTGCTTGCTTTCCTTTTTTAAAGATTTTATTTATTTATTTATTTATTTATTTATTTGTCAAGACAGAAAGAGAGAGCGCACACAAGCAGGGGGAGCAGCAGGCAAAGGGAGAAGCAGGCTCCATGCTGAGCAAGGAGCCCCATGTGGGACTCAATCCCAGGACCCTGGGATCATGACCTGAGCCGGAGGCAGATGCTTAACCAACTGAGCCACCCAGGCCTCCCTTGGCCCGTGCTTTTCTCTTCGAGCCCCTTGCCCAGCAGATTGGGCAGCCTTTTCCTATCTGGTCTGTTGGGCGGAGGCTCCTTTCAATTTGCGCCAAAGTGCCATGTGTGTTGGCAGCTGACCTGGGCACCAGAGTCCTGGGAAAGAGGCAGCCGGGTTTCCACAGGGGTCCAGGCGCAGAGAAGGAGCCTCACACTCAGAGTCAAGGCAGGTCCCACAGCCCCTTCACCCCAGGCGCCTCGCAGCCATACACACTCTCTTGCTTTCGTTCTGGGTCTAGGGGTAGAGAGTTTGGGCGGCCCGAATTCTGTGTCCCCTGACCACTGTCCTGGCCCCAGGTGTGAGAGCCTGGTGGACATTTATTCCCAGCTGCAGCAGGAAGTGGGGGCAGCTGGCGTGGAGCTGGAGCCCAAGGCCCGGGCAGTGCTGATCAGCCGGCTAGATGAAGTCCTGCGAACCCTCGTCACTAGGTATGCCCCCTGAGCCCTCAACCCGGCCTAGAGCAAACCCTGAGGAAGGAAGAGGCTTAGAGCAGTGGGAAGGGTGCCAGAAGGGACCCAGCCACTAAACTCCCCTGTATCTTCACTCCTCCCAGCTCCTTCCTGGTGGAGAAGCAGCCCCCCCAGGTTCTGAAGACTCAGACCAAGTTCCAGGCTGGGGTTCGATTCTTACTGGGCCTACGGTTCCTGGGGGCCCCAGCCAAGCCTCCGCTGGTCAGGGCCGACATGGTGACTGAGAAGCAAGCCAGGGAGCTGAGCATGCCCCAGGGGCCTGGGGCTGGAGCGTAAGCCAGGGCTGGTGAAGGCCTGCTGGGCTGGTGGAGGCCAGGGGAGCCTGGGCAACTGGCACCCCAAAAGAGCAGGGTGGTGAGGAGGGAGGGCTGTGAGGTGTGTGGACCCTGAATGGTCACGGCAGAGGAAGGAGGGGATGCATCAGGGCTGGAACGGGATGGAGAATTGTGATTTGGCCAAGATAGGGACCTCCTTGAGAATCCAAGCAGGGAGATGGAGATTTGGGGCCGGTCGCCCTTGCCATCCATACATGGACTCAAGCTTCTCCCCACCCCTGGCCCTGCTGGGATGCACCCACTCAGTGTCCGACCTCCCCTGGCAGAGAAAGCACTGGGGAAATCATCAACAACACTGTGGCCCTGGAAAACAGCATTCCTGGCAACTGCTGTTCTGCCCTGTTCAAGAACCTGGTGAGGGCTTTGGGGAGCCATTGGGAAGAGTGGGGGTGGGGTCTTCAGACTGAGGGACTGTCCTTGGAGAGGGTGTCGGGAAGCCTCACCCCTGCTCCCCTTCCCACTCCTGCAGCTTCTGAAGAAAATCAAGCGCTGTGAGCGGAAGGGCACTGAGTCCGTCACCGAGGAGAAGTGTGCGGTGCTCTTCTCCACCAGCTTCACACTTGGCCCCAACAAACTCCCCATCCAGCTCCAGGTGAACTGAGCCTCAGGCTGCCCAGTCTAGGGCACCGGCTCCCCACCATGCTACATGCTGGGGCCCTGGCTCCTCACTCCTCATGATGGCTCCGTAGCCCGTGCCTCTGGGATCCGTGTGCACTGGGGTCAGGGCGAGAGCGGGAGGCACAAGAGTGCGCCTGCCTGGGAATCGTGTGGTGGCGACTAGCTTTTATTATACATTTCGTGTAGACCAGGGCACTGTTTTAAGTCACACATACACACATACAGAGGTAAGTACTATCTTTAGCCCCATTTCACAGATGAGTCCATTAAGATACAGAGAGGAATTTGCCCAGGTCACACAGCTACGAAGTGCTGGAGCTGGCATTGGAAACCTAGAGGTCTGGCTCTAAACCACCGACTCATAACCACTTGTCTACAGTTAGGCCTTAATGGAGCTTTAGAAAACATGTGATAACACACCAGGAACAATTGACTATGTTGTGTGACTCCTAGAGCGTCCCTGCATTCTCAGAGCCAACCCCCTGAGGAAGCCCCTTGCTCCAGTAAGAAGATCCCCCTCTTCTCGCCCCTGTCAGGCTCTGTCTCTGCCGCTAGTGGTCATTGTCCACGGCAACCAGGACAACAATGCCAAAGCCACCATCTTGTGGGACAATGCCTTCTCTGAGATGGTGAGGAAAGACCTGGAGTGGCCATGGAGGGAGGGAGGGGAGGAACAGGGGCGAGCAACATGGGCTGTCATGTTGGGGGAGGCAGGAGCAGACATGTTCAAATGGGAGTGGCCATAACTCTTTTCACCATACTCTCTAACTTCACACTTTTATACTTCTGACCTCTTTTCGTGCTGGTCTTAACAGCTACCATGTTGTAGCACCCTAAACTATTTTCGGAAAAGCACCATCTTTGTGAGCAAGCTCAGGGGGATAATGGCTGGGAAGGGCAGCGCTGGGGAGGTGGGAGGGAGGAAGGCCCCTCCTGAGGAAGAAGGATGATAGTCTGAAGTGTCCTATCCTTCCACTTCACCCCAGGACCGTGTCCCCTTCGTGGTAGCTGAGCGTGTGCCCTGGGAGAAGATGTGTGAAACTCTCAACCTCAAGTTCATGGCTGAAGTGGGGACCAATCGGGGGCTACTCCCAGAGCACTTCCTCTTCCTAGCCCAGAAGATCTTCAATGATAACAGCCTCAGCATGGAGGCCTTCCAGCACCGTTCCGTGTCCTGGTCACAGTTCAACAAGGTCATTCCCCTGCTTTTTGGACCTCCCACCCCTAAGCTCTTCATCCATGAGGCACTCAGGACCTTCCCAACCTCTGTCCGGAGACTGACCGCTGGGGTCTTCATGGTGCCCCATCATGGGGGTCAGGGAAGCCTCCGTCACAGCCCAGGCAGGAAAACCCGTCAGCCGGGCGGGTAAGCCCAGAGGGAGCATTCCCCAGCGTCCCTCAGGTTTTGGACTGGGGGCCCTCTGTCCTCCCTCTCTACCAGTGACTCGCATGACTCATCCAAACACAGCTCTGATTCAAAATGACTTTGACCCATTGGGAAAATAGTTCCTATTGCAAAAACCAGGATGAAATCCCCCAGGGACACACACAGTGATACCAGCAACCGTGTGCTGACACCTTACTATGTGGCAGAAACTGTGTTTAGCGTGTTAGGTATGTCATCTACTTACCCCTCCCAACATCCCTTTGAGGTAGCTGCTATTATCCGAATTTTACAGGTGAGGAATGTGATGCTCAGAGGGGTTAAGTCGTTTGTCCAGCAGGTGAGGAGGGTGGGATATAACCCCCTATTTCTTGCTCTTAGCCGCCATATTTTAACTACCCTCAAAGGGAGGTGGCTCGGGACTGGACCTGTTACAAAAATGGGGGAAAAGGTCTGGGTGTCTTGGTTGAGGACCAGCTGGGTAAATGCAGTCACGTACTGTTCTCTCAGCAAAAAAGAAAGAGAAGTCTACATGACAAAAGGATGTGTTAGCAGAGGGAACAGGACACTCACACCTGGCAATCTGCCTTGTCTGGACTCCACTGCCCTTGTTCTAATCAAGTATTGGTGGAGCGCAGTTGTTAGGAGGGACTCTGGTCTGGACTTCCTGGGCTACATCCCAGCTCTGCCTCTCACCAGCTATGTAGATGTGGGCAAGTTACTTGACCTTTCTGGGCTTTGACTTCTTCATCTGTAAGATGGGATACTTAGAGGCCTGTAAAGATCCGGTAAGTGAATTTATGGAAAGGACGTGCAATACTGCCTGGCACCTGGTCAGTGTGAGGGCTGGCCATTGTCGTTGATGAGATCTCAGATTCTGTTTTGTCCTTCAGCCCTGTGACTCTGTTGTGTGGGCACTCACAACCCAGGGCCTATCCTAACCAGGCCCTAGCTCTGGCCCTCCTGTGTTCACACTAGCTCCTCCTTATTCCCCAGGAGATCCTGCTGGGTCGTGGCTTCACCTTTTGGCAGTGGTTCGACGGTGTCCTGGACCTCACCAAGCGCTGTCTCCGGAGCTACTGGTCAGATCGGTGAGTCCCTGCCCCAGTGGCCTGAGCACTTGTACCTCTAGCTCCTTCTCTACAGCCAGTGCCCCAACCCCATCCTCTCCTTCATCCTGGCCAGGCTGATCATTGGCTTCATCAGCAAACAGTACGTCACTAGCCTTCTTCTCAACGAGCCTGATGGAACATTCCTCCTTCGCTTCAGCGACTCAGAGATTGGGGGCATCACCATTGCCCATGTCATCCGGGGCCAGGATGGTGAGGTCACCCCAGCCAGTCCTCTGTTTCTGTGCCTGTGCCCTCTGGGGTGTCTCCTGGGAAGGAAATGTCTTGGCCTTCCTTGATGCCAAGCCTGATCTTCAGGGAGTCCTTCCTTAGGTCCAACTTCCCTCCACCCTTCTGCAGTCTACCTTCTCATTGTGAGCTCTGTAGGAACAGAGACTGGTTGGTCTCCCTCCCGCAGGACTCTCACCCTCACTCCTCTCCCCCTCACCTTGGTAGACTGAGAGTGGATCTTGTGTTGGGGCAGGATGGAGACGGGGAGAATGTCTGGACAGAGGGGACTCAGGGTCTCATTCCTATTGTAGGCTCCCCACAGATAGAGAACATCCAGCCATTCTCTGCCAAAGACCTATCCATTCGTTCACTGGGAGATCGAATCCGGGACCTTGCTCAGCTCAAAAACCTCTACCCCAAGAAACCCAAGGATGAAGCTTTCCGGAGCCACTACAAGCGTAAGCTGGAGCTCGCAGTTTGAACCCTTCTTTTGCCCATCTCTTCCATCATCCCAGTTGCCCCCTTCCTACACAGTGTATGTCATCCCTGACTTCTCTCTCCATTTTCAAAGCCCCATTTCTCCTACTTGCCCATCAGCTATGCCCACTTTTACACATCCCTTCCTCCCCAATCCTGGGGCACTCCATGGCTCTCCTTTCCTCCCCCACAACAGCTGAACAAATGGGTAAGGACGGCAGGGGTTATGTCCCAGCTACCATCAAGATGACTGTGGAAAGGTGAGTGTGGCATTGTGAACGGCGGGCGGGCCTGGTACTCCTCGCTGGAAGAAGTGGTGGCATCAGCCTTTGGTCAGTCACACGGACCTCCTTCTCTCCTCCAGGGACCAGCCACTTCCTACCTTGGAGCCCCAAATGCCTACCATGGTGCCAGCTTACGATCTTGGAATGGCCGCTGATTCCCCCATGAATATGCAGCTCAGCCCAGACATGGTGTAAGGAGCTTGAGAGGCAGGAATGGGAGTGGTCTGTGGGGACAGGTGTTTAGGCTTGGGCAGCTGGGAGAGCTGGCATTAGGGACTGAAGTAGGGGATTTCCTTTCCAGGAGAGGGATTCCCATCTTGGGGCAGGAGGTGGGGGTGTCCAGCAGAAGGGCTGGCCTCAGGGGGGTCTGCATTCTTTCCCCAGGTCCCAAGTGTACCCACCGCACTCTCACTCCATCCCCTCGTACCAAGCCCTCTCCCGGGAAGACACATTGACAACCTTCCCAGAGTAAGTGGAAGGGACACGGATACCCATCTGCAAGGGGGATGGGCATTTACCATTTGTTAGGAGAGGCTCCGCTGTGAGAAAGGGGCAGCAAAAGGCTGACACTCTGTCTCTTCTGTCCACTCCATTGAGAGGTTAGTGGTTAAGATCCAGACTTAGCCAGGTTCAAATTCCAGCTCCGCCACCTACTGACTTTGGGCAGGTTGCTTCATACTGGTGCCTGGGAATAGGGAGTATTGATAATAATACTAATAATACCTTCCTCGGGGGATTGTTATGAAGGTTAATTGAATTAGTAATACCTGTAAAGCTCATAGCAAGAACTATGTTAAGAACTAAGATTACCTCTCCTGCCACTGTCATTTATCTGCTGTCTGGATTTTTATTTATTCATCTGTTTTGGCCTTGAAGTGGCCTAGACATATTTCCTCCCTAAGTAACACTCTTATTATAATAACTGCAGGTTCTTATTGACTCTTAAACAAGGCACAACATCTCCCCTCCCAGGAGTTGAGGTAGGGTAGAGACTGGGGGGCTTAGAACCACTTAGAACCACCAGAGTCCAGAGAAACATTAGAAATTAGCTAATTCAAGGGCTCCTGGGTGATTGAGTCAGTTAAGCATCTGACACTTGGTTTCAGCTCAGGTCATGATCTCAGGGTCATGATCTTAGGGGCCTGGGGATAAAGCCTCCCTCGTAATCCCTGGCACTTGTGTTGTTGGGAGTCTGTTTCTCTCCCTGTTTCTCTGCTCCTCCCCCTCCCAAATAAATAAAGAGATCAGCTAGCTCAGCCCTTCTCTCCTCCCCCAGCCCAATCCCCAACACATACACATTTTACAGATAAGGCTGAGCCCACGGCTTACCCAAAACTATGTGGTCGGGAAAAGGAGCTGGAAATTGTTTGCTCATTCAACGACCTTGACTTTGGAACGTGGTGCCCTTGTCTAGCCTTCCTTTCTCTGACTGTGCCCTCCTTCCCATTTCCAGATCTCATCTGCAGATGCCCCCCAACCTGAACCCGATGAACCTGTCCTTTGACCAAACTCACCCTCAGTGAGTGACAGCACCCCTCCTGATCCCATGCTCCCCATTCCTTCCCATCCTTATCCCACCCCCATCTTACTGCCTTTTCTGGTCTTGGCAGGGGCCTACTCCCATGCCCATCTCAGGAGCATGCCGTGTCCACTCCTGAGCCCCTGCTCTGCTCAGATGTGACCATGGCTGAAGACAGCTGCATGAGCCAGTCGGTAGGAGGGTTCCCTCAGGGAACCTGGTGAGTGGCGTCCTGGGGCTGATGGCTGGGCAAGGGCTGGAGGAGCGGGTGCCGTAGCTACCCTACTGTTTCTCCCCTTCCTTCTTACAGGGTTGGTGAAGACATGTTCCCACCCTTGCTGCCTCCTACTGAACAGGACCTCACCAAGCTTCTCCTGGAGGGGCAAGGGGAATCGGGGGGAGGAGCCTTGGGCACCCAGCCCCTCTTGCAGCCCTCTCATTATGGGCAGTCTGGGATCTCAATGTCCCACCTGGACCTAAGGGCCAACCCTAGTTGGTGATCCCAGCTGGAACGGGAGCCCCGAGAAAGACCGCTCTTCTACCCCCCCGGACCTGCTCTGGACACTTGCCCACGCTCCTGCCAAGTGGCAGATGGGGAGAGTGTCCTCCTATCCCCATCTACTCCCTGGTCAGGAGGAAAAGACTGCCAGGAAAATGCACAGTGGGTGGAGCCTATCCACTCCTTCCTCCTACCACACACCCCTGTCCTCCCCCTTCCAACGGTGGAAGGGAAATTCAGGTTCCAAAGTGAGACACGCCCCAACACGCCTGCACACAGAAAACACACACACACACACACACACACACACACCCACACACACACACACCCTCTCTCCCTGGAAGATGGAGCTGAGTAGGAAGGGGGCTGGGCAACAGCACAGGTTAGGACATAGAGGACTTCTCTGACCATCTTGAGCCCGAGCCCAGGACACACACGTAGAAACATGCAGACACGTGCACACGTTTGTGCGAAAGGCTGGGAACTGAGGGATGGGCTTGGGTCCCAGCCCTGGGGTGGATGGAGAAGCAGTTCAGGAGACCCTGGGTGGGAGGAGGTGGGAGAATCTGTACAGTTGGGTTACTGAGGTGGGTTATGCCCAGATTAAAAAACAAATTTCCAACAGCCCCACATTCCTGTCAGTCAGATGGAGATTTTTGGTTATGTGTAGGTCAAGGGCTGTGTTTTACGGGCAGCCGTGTGAAAGTGTGCATCCCTGAGACGTGTGAATATACAGATGTCACACACATTCACTGTTATGGCCACAAAAATACATGTATCTTGCTGATCTTGCCTGTGTGACAAGTTCAGAAGTGTGAAACACTGCACAAAAGACACCAGCGAATGCGCTAGCTTCTTTGATGCACGCTAACCCAGATGTACTCAGCTTTCGTAGGACCGTGGCCCCCGTGGGTCTGTGTGGCTGTGACATCTGTATGTGGCTCTAGCTTTGGTGGCTCAACCCTGCCAATCCTGCCCAAAGGCCAGGGGTGAGTCTGGGACCCAGGCCCGGGCATGAGGTCCTCTGAGTGAATTAGGGGGCCTGCCCTGCTGCTGCTTTTCTCTTTCCCCATTCACTGCCAGCTTCCCTCCACTGCCCCATTCCCGTGCCACCCTTTCTCCCTCTTGGGGGGGGGGGTCATCGATCCTAAGCCATAAAATAAATTTTATTCCAAAATAACAAAATAAATAATCTACTGTACACGATCTGAAAAGAAAGACGCTCTAACTGCTCAGACAGGTGCTGCGGTCCAGCCCCCAGCTGAGGGAGACCCTGAGTCCAACCCAGGCCTCCTGAGGGGGCCGGTCGAGGGGACCCCACATTCACCCTCCCCCCTACCCCCCGAGAGGGCAGGAGGGAAAAAGTTGCTGAGGACTTGGGGGAAAGATGGGGATAGGTGGGCAAACTGCAGCACTTGTTAAATTAAAGAAACAAACTAGAAGCACAAAAATGGGGGAGCAGAGGGGAGGAGGAGGTCCAGTGTTCCCAGGCCCCCAGTTCTGGGGGGAAACATTGCCATTTTTAGCTGTTGGACCTTCCCAGGGAAGTCCCCTTTTCCCCCATGTCCAAACTGAATCCAACTGCTCATACCACTGGTTCAAGCTACAGAGAACGGGAGTGTGTTGTGTAAGGGAGGGGAGAACCCCAGATACCCTGGAGACAGAGTCCTTGCCCCCTTGCTCTAGGCAAGGGTGAAGGGGCACCACGCACCCTCCTTGTGTCCTCTTGCCAGGCCCCTGCTCGTTATTGCTTGAAGCCCCATAGTTCTATGCCCATGGAGCAGGTGGGGAGGCAGGAGAAGGGCAGCTGAAAGATCCAGGGTTGTGACTAGATGCCAGGGATGGAGAATGTCGGAGTCCATGTGAGCCAGAAGCCCAAGTCCTGGGTCTGAGGACACCAGCGCACCCCTCACTGCCTGCTGGCCTCTGCCTCCACTTTGACGCTGCTCCTGCGACCTTCCACCAGGGCAGGATGGGGTCCCGGGGCGGGGCATCGGTCCAGCAGCCCTTCCTCGAACTCTGTAGGAAGAAAAGGGGTAAGTTAGGAGGCCTTGGGGTGAACGATGCAAGGAGGTGGCTGGACAGGAGGCAGGTGTCAGGAGACTGCAAAGATGAGCTGGATTTGATAGGCTGCCTCCTGCCCACTGCACATTTATAGGTGTGTGTATGGGGGGTGTTCCATACCCAAGTGTGTGCGTCCCCCTCCCCTTTCTGGCTGTGTGTAGCGCTCTCTCTGTATGTGTCTCTCTCCTCTGTCTCTCCCGCCTCCGTTCTGCTGGAATTTCTGGTTCTGTCAGGAGCTGTGGGGGTGGCTTGGCTCTGACCTCTCCCCCTCCCCCCCCTTCCCAGGCTCTGCCGCCCCCACTCATCCCTGGCCCCCTCCCAGGCCCCACCTACCCTACCATGCCCCTCCAGTTTCTTAGAAGCCAAATCAGGGGGAACACAGGAAGCCAGCCTCCCAACTCCTCCCCCAAGAAGAGCCCCCCCTTCCAGTCCCCACCCCCACTTCCCACCCACGCACAGTTTAAAAATACCAAGCCAGGGTTGGTGGCTTTGTCTGCTGCATCACTCTCAGCCCAGCCGCTCTGGCCCTCTGGCGGACTACTCCCTTCCCCCATACACACACAAAGCATCCCCCTTTGGGCTCCTCTACTTCCCAGCTAGGCAACCCCACTGTAACTCCTAGCCTACCCTAACCTTCTGCCTTGGTGGCAGCTCTGTCTCTGCTTCCTTTCTTGGTGATCCTCCCTTCCTGTTCCCCTAGTCCCCCATTCTCTGTCCCCTTGCTCACTCCAGCGCTCCTTTCACAGATCTCCATTAGGATCAGATCCTCCTAGTGGAAACAATCCTGTAGGATCCCCCTTTCCTCAGCCCAAGGCCTGGATGGCTGGAGCCCCAGCACCCTACTGGCTGCCCTCTCTGGTGACTACATCCCTCTCCCTCCCACCAGGCCCCAGGACGCCAGGACTGCTGGGTGGGGCCTGGGTGGCAGGGGTGCTTGGGGACAGCGCTGCTGCTGCCTCACCTGCGAGAGGCGGCTTCGCAGGCACACAGGGGCTGAGGCGCCCCACGCGGTCGTGGGAGACGAGGCGGGCTAGCCGCAGCCCCTCATCCATCAGTGTCTGCTGCAGGATGTGGCGGCTCCACAGCCCATGGGCTGGCAATGCCAGCGGCAGGTCAGCAGGGGGCGGCGTCAGCCTTGGGCATGACCCCACAGCTGTGGGCATGGGCACGGATCAGGTAAGGGACTACAGTCAAAGGAACCCCGCCCCACCCCCTCCCCACCTCAAGCGCAAAGCAGACCCATAGGCCCAGGCCCCTTTGCCCCCATCCAGCCAGGCCTCCCAACCCTGCTCCAGGCAGAGGCCTCCTAGCTCCTTCCTCCCACCTACTCCACCCCCACAGCTCGAAGAAAAGTATTCTGATGGACACTCACCCTGCAAGTGTCCGTCAAGACTCTCCCCAGACAGGCTGGCACTGTCCTCCTCCAGGCTGGGCCGGTATGGGGGTGCATAGGACTCAGGGCCTGGTGGAGGCTGCTGGAGTTCAGAGTGACTTTGCTCTCCAACCTGTGGATGCCCCAAAGGGGAAGATGAGGACCTAGCAAGGGAGGGGCTGGGGAGGGGCGCTAACCCCCTGTGTCCACCCTAGAAACCTACCTCCTGTTTTAACTTCTTCAGTGGAGGGCCTCCCAGTTCTTCGGGGTGAAGCCTGCGAAGACGAGAGCAGTAAGGAAGGTGAAGCTGGGGAGGGCGGCACGGCGGGCAGAACATAGAATCTGGGGAGGAGCGTGTGCTCTTTCAAGACCAGAAAGCAGCTGGCTGAGCAGGAGTGTCTAGCTCTGGTACTGCTGTTGTGGGTGAGCAGACAAAACCCGAGATGGACAGGAGGAGGGCCCAGGCCCAGACAAGTGGGCTTGGCGCAAAGCAGGACACGCACGTGGGCAGGAAGCAGGCCTAGAGGCCCCTGCCCGGGAACTTAGGCCCAGGACCCAGCTACTTGGCAGGATTCTCTAATCTAGGAGGGACCTGGAGAAGGGAGTCTCACCTGGAGCCCTTCAACGAGGACAGGTAGGTGCTCTCTCGGGCCACTTGGCGCGACAGGGAGAAGAGCTCCACCCTCCGCAGTAAAAGTGTGTTGTCCCGCATGCAGAACTGTGCAGCAGCTTCGTTGATGGTCAGCTGTGGAGAGGGCCGCCGGAGTGGGCACAGTCCTCAGGCCCCACTGCCTTGCCCAGACCTCCTCCCACCCTTCGCCGTCAGATAAAGCCCGTGCATTAGACACTTGCTTAGGATCTGATGCTATGGAGTTCTCTGGAGGCAGAGGACAAAGGCCAACCTCCCTGGCTGCCGAGGGAGCCTGGAGTCCCCTCAGCCAGAGCAGTCCCGAGCGGCACGGAGCGGGACTGCCCGGCGCTGGCCTGTACCTCTGCTTCGCCCCCAGCTGAGGAGGGAAGCACTGCAGTGGCCAGGACCGGGCTGTGTGGAGGCGACTGGGGCCTGGGGTCCTGGTCAGGAGGCAAGGAAACAGGTTGGGGAGGGCAAAGGTTCTCCACGGTGAGGAGGGTGAGGCCTGGGAGCCAAGTGCAATCCTAGGAGAATGGGGTCCTCACCTCGTGCAGGCTGAGCTGCTTGCCCTCCCGCCGCTTGGAGTCAAAGCGGCCGTAAATGATGCTGTATTTGCGGATCTCCTCCTCCTTCTGGCTGTCACTGTCGTCCATCTCAAAGATGTGCCCCACGCTCCGTGCCAGCTTCTTGTTCAGCTTCAGCAGGGACGTCACCTCCCCAGCATCCCCCCTTGGGAAGCTCCGGAAGATCCTCTCCACACTCTCCACCACCATGCGCACCATCTCTGGTTCCAGGCGATCCGGACCACCCCCAGCCCCAGCGGCTGCCAGCCCCCCAGCCCCAGTCCCCTCCTGGACTCCTCCCCCTGCAGGTGGGGAGAAGGGGGGTGAGCCTGTCTCCTCTTCTCCTCCCGCCCCAACGTCGGACTCTGGAGTGCTCCGTCCTGGCCAGATCCGGGGGTCTCCGGCCCCAGGTCCCCCAGGCAGTGGTGACAGCTTCTCTCCAAGTTCAAGGGGGCTCTTGGGGCTAAAACTGCGGGCACTGCCTGCCTTTTCCCCTGGGCTGCTGTGCCCATTGCTCATGCTTCCTTTCCGGGTGCCTGCAGTCTCGGAGATCTTGAAAAGTGGGATACTGGAGACAGGCACAGCAGGCACTGGCTGACTGAAGAGCCCTGGATTGGTGGCCCATTCTCTCAGTGCCTTCTGCAGGCGGCGGACA